GTAGCTGCAGCAATTTCCCAATCAATTTGCTTTCTTACACAATGTGGTGACACTTTCATACTTTCACCTCTGTTCTCAAACCCCAACCTTAAGAGATAACCTTGCCTTATACTTCATTGAGAAAACAGAAGCCCGTAGACCAGAGATCTTGTCTTTTCATGGTCAGAGTTACAAACTTCTGTGCACAGCATCAGTCTTCTCTTCTCTCCTGTGATGTTGGAGGAAGGGTCTCTCCTTTTTCCAAAGGTTAATGTACTTGGATCACATCTCTTCTAACCTTCTTAGGCTACTTGGGCTATTTCTGTTCTGTGTCAACTAGAATGCTTTCTACTATAAGTAAAAAGACTAAAGCTACCTATAGACTAAAGGTTCCCAAATTTATATCTCCTGCCCATGTTCTGGAACCAGGCAGCTCTGAGTGGGTATTATGCTAATTAGTAGATGCATATGTCCTTATGCTTCTTGTGTAAAACCTTATCATAGAGAATATTTCTGAAATGACTGTTTACCTAACTTCACAGATTATTTAGAAAAAAAGGAAAGAGGTGTCAGCCCGCACATTGGAGATCTCTTTTTTCTTTGCAAATGTTTTTCCTCCCTTTAAAAACAGAGACACACACCAATGTTTAAATTGTATATTTAGCACAAAATCCTCTTAATTGTCAGCCTGTTATGAAGCATGCTAAGGGGGTGGACACTGGAGCTCTGTTTAGCTTTCCCTTTTGTCTATGCAACTGACCAGATAGGTTTATTTTCCCTTTGTAGATGCTTTGTTTTTAGAAAGTGTTTCATTCATGAATTCTGACAGAAGGCTAAGAAAATTTGAAACCATTGTAAAGTGTGGAATTTAGCCATCAGAAATCTTTAACAGACTTGCAGGAGTGGGTAGCACCTTCTGATAAATAATTTTGGAATGGGCGTAATCTCCAGTGCACTGGGACAACTGGAGAGATACAGGGCCAGGGTCAGGAGTTCTCTCCAGAATCTCTGCTCAACAAGATTTTATTTGTGGCTTTCTAGTGGTCAGGAAATAAGCCACTGGCATCCAGGATATAAACCCACTAGGAGTGGGCGATGTGAGTTGTGTCATTTTGATGTGTGCCCTAAATAAGAATGCCAGAGGAGTGGGAGAACTGTAAAATGAGTTTCTCCACAAAAGTGGCCGAGCGGGCTGAATAGTAAAGGGCAAGTGGATGTGAAAAAAAAGAAACTAATACAGTCAGGATCCCTTCTGCTTCCCCCCATTATTCAAGTGAATGGCTGATAGAAGAGATAAGGAGGAAACATATTAAATCTTAACAAAAGGTAGGCGTATATCAAGAAAGCAGAGAGAGGTTATATTTATGCAAGTCTGACAAAATTAAAAAATGGGTTGGCAATGAAATTGTGGTGTCCCAACTCCATATACCACCTCACTCACACTAGCAGACCTCTGCGCTAGCAGATATGACCAAAAGGAAGTTCAAGAGCAATGCTGGTTTGAGTTAGCTCCCTGCCAACCCAATTTTATAATATTCTTTAATTTTTAAAAAAGATCTTGTAGTGCCAATTCCTTGCCTTCTAAATATAGAGAACTTTAAAATACTTTAATATTGCAAAGTCATATATGAAATGGTTGCTTTTCAATTCTTGATTTGTGGGTATGTGGGTATAACTTTTGCTCACTTAGTACAACACAACTTTTAGGCCAAGCAAGTGAATGAAAGTATGAAGAAATATTCAATTGAATGGAGAGACTTTTAAAAAGTCTTTTAAGTCTACTAATTCATTGAGGTCTTTTGGCTTAAGGCTATCTGTGAAAAAAATCACTATTTACTAGGCTTATTAGTTCTTCTTTTATATACCTTATAAAGAAATTCAAGGTACAGATAAATAATTATGGAATGGAATGTAGGGACTATTTCCACCTGAGATCATCGGGAACTTTGGACTAAAAGAAATAGAGTCAAAGGCCTGAGTTTAGGTGGTAAGGATGTGTTAACTTAAGATATCACTACTCAAATACTTTATACTGGTTAACACAACCTACCCAGGAAATTGTTCTGATTTATTGAATATGTTTTTATCTAAGCAGTTGAGCCACAGGTAGTAACAGCCCTGAGACCAAACTTGTTGCTTGAGCTGTAATATGAAATAACCCAGGAATGATAAGTCTCCCATGCTTCTTCTGTTACATCCTAGGGAAAGAAATCCAGGAAGAAAGTTCTGCTCTGTGGGTGAACATTATAATGGTGTATAGCCCTGGAGCTGCAGTGCATTAGTGTAAGGCTAGAGGCACCAGGGAAAGGGGTGAGCCTGCTGGACAAGCTCAGGCCTCACCAAGCAAGGCAAGAGACCAACAGGTTCCAGTCTGACAACATTCCAGAGCCTGATTGGATAACATTCCTAACTAGAGCCCTTCCCCCAAGCTAGAAGAGTAGTGGTAACTTTCCAGTACCTGGTAAAGGCCAATGAGAGACCCCCACATACCCTAGGTGAGCCAATCCTAGCGCCACTGTATACCTTTGCTCTCCCTCCCGCTGCCTTCTTTAAAAATTCACTGCCTTCCCTGCTGATCGTGACTTCCCGGCCTGTGATAGCCAGACCAGTATACCTTTGCTCTCCCTCCCGCTGCCTTCTTTAAAAATTCACTGCCTTCCCTGCTGATCGTGACTTCCCGGCCTGTGATAGCCAGACCGGGGAACATCACCCGGGAATTGCGCTCAAATAAACTGCCTGGCCCTTTGTTGCCTCTTGTCGCCTGCTTATTTCGGCTAGAATTTATCTTACAATTAGTAGTACATCAATGCCTACTGGATCAAGATGTAGGACTTTTTACAAACACAGCTGGATTCAATTAGCTGTTATTATTTTCTTGCATTGACCTTACTTGGTTTTGATGCCAGGGTTCTTGTTTGTGGAGTCCAAGAATTAACTTAGCAAACACCCAAGGTAGGAGAGCCAGGGAGAGGCTTTTATTTAGAAATAAAGTGAGAGGAAAGAGCTCCTGGCTCATGCCAGGAGGGGGGGTAAGAGAGCCCGGGATGGTGTGTTGTCAAGGGGATTTATAGGCAGTTGAGGATTTTGGGGAACTGAGGGCCTAGGGTGTGGACTTGTACCACCTGCCCTGCCCCTAAGGTGGGCTGGGTTGTTGTCTGTTTGCTAGGGCTGTTTACAGAGAAGTCAGAGGTTATGCTGAAATATCCTTCTTTATTTGCAGAACACACAAACATTCTGGGCCAAGTTGCTCCTGGCCTTTTGACCTTTAACTGATCTCACTGAAGATGTCTATATTCCTAGTCTGGTATCTTTACCCTAGAGAATTAGTATGACTTTGACTTTGCATAATGCTGAACACAGAGTTTCAATAGGGACTTCTTTACATTGTTACATTGCTTTGACTGTAAATATCCTGCCTTGCTTTTCCTGGAGGCCCTCACCCTACTCTGACTACACTCAAAGTCCCCATCTCAGTTTTGGAATCAACATTACATTAACCTCATAAAAAGAGTAAGCAGGTTTTGAAAGTCTTCTCTATTTTGTAAAATCTAGTTCTTTTCAAGAGAGATAGTGTGATGACTTTTCAATTTCCTTAATATTTCTACAAGCACCAATTTTGGCATTTTATATATTTCTAGGAACTTTTGCATCTCATCCAAGTTTTCACATTTCTCAATCCCTATTGATGCTGGGGTTCTTGTTTGCAGAGTCAAAGAATGAATTTCACAAACACCCAAGGTAGGAGAGCTAAGGAGAGGCTTTTATTGAGAGATACAGTGAGAGGACAGAGCTCCTGGCTCATGCCAGCAGGGGACTAGAGAGCCCGGGGTGGTGTGTTGTCTAGAGGCTTTATAGACAGTTGAGGATTTTTGGGAATTGAGGACTTAGGGTGTGGACTTGTACCACCTGCCCTGCCCTCAAAGTGGGCTGGGTTGTTGTCTGTTTCCTAGGGCTGTTTACAGTGAAGTCACCGGTTATGCTGAGATACCCTTGCGGAACACTCAAACACTCAAACACTCCAGGCCAAGTTGCTCCTGGCCTTTTGACCTTTAACTGATCTCACTGAAGATGTCTATATTCCTAGTCTATCTTGTAAATATCTTGCCTTGCTTTTTTCCAGAGGCCCTCACCCTACTCTAAGCCCATGGTCCTTGTCTCAATCTGATGGTTCCCCTGGTATTTTATTCCAGATTCTGTTTCATGGAGTTTCCTACAGTGAGAAAGTTGAAGTGAACTCTGGGTGAGTCAGCACTTTTCAAGCATATTGCCTAACCTCACAGAGTAGGATGATTCTTTCCGAGAGGTACTTCCCCTGACTAGTGTGGCCTCTGAGCCTCTCCTGACCTGGCCCTTTTATGGTCCTCCCTGGCCGACCTCCAGTTTGCTTCTCTTACCTCAGAGTTCTAACCTTAGATGAGGAACATTTCCTTCACAGTGCTCACCACAGTTAGCAACTATGAGGGTGTTGGAAATGCCATAAAACTAAATATGATTTATTCGTAGAGGAATTAATATTTAAACAAAAGAGTATTAACAAGAAGCCTACATGTCAGAACATGTACCAGGGAGTCACTCTGGCTGGGAGGGCGAGGGAGATTAAGATAAGAAAGCCAGGGCTGTGCATCTCTTTGGAAAAAAAAAAAAAACACAGAAAAAGTTTTAAACCAGCCAATGAAATTAAGACAAATGGTAAAAAAGCCTAATACAGATATAATTTGCTAAGATAACATCTGGGAAAGAATGTTAACCCTGTAGTACTCAGTCAGTGAGGAGCCAGGGGAGGGACTTGCGTGCTAAGGTTACAACTCATGTGTTGTAACCACCCTGAGTGTGCCTGTATGGGTAAAATTGCAGTATTTCCAGAATCTCTTGCCTAGCCTTAATGCATCTCCATATCATTAGGTGTGTCCCATGGGTGGAGAGAAGTAGTCCATCTCCATATCAATAGGTAATTATGAGGGCAAGTGAGGGTTTATCTGGACCAGAGAGGTTGGGTGGGGTCTCTTCTTCTGCAGCCAAGTTGCAGAGGCATGGGAGAGCAGAGGTGGATGACTGCTTGTAAGAAACAAATGGTTTGTTTATGAAAAGGAGCCTTGAGCCTTGTGCATATGCTGACATACCTTGCTGCCTCTCCTATACAGCTGTATGTGCAAACCACAGAGGAGTTATTGAAGCCAGGATATGGCCAGTAGAGCAACATCCTGCTGCCAGCTCCAACTGCATTAAACCCTGGAGACTCTGTTGAATGGATGTGGCCCTGGACATTTTGATACATGGACCAGCAATGGCTGGCCCTTCTGGCACCTTGGGAAAAAGGCTGGGAAGTTGGCCTCGTGTGTATTCCTGGAGTAACAGCAGAGTGGCCCCCAAAGATCATTGTAGGATACCCAAAACGCCTGGGAGGTAAGAGCATCTTATGGGAAAGTTCTGTTTTATCTTTGTGGCCAGTGCATGTACCTCTCATTGCCCTATATATGGACCTACTGTAACTCCCACAGGGAGCAGGCTGAATGTCTGGTATAGTAGACCAGGAGGGGATCCCATTCCTGCCACTGTCCTATCACAGGACTACTCTCTTACATGCATCCTACCTGATGGACAAGATTTGCCTTTGCTGATGTCATTAAAACATGTATCTTACTGCCCTTCAGGTTATTTTCTACAGTCCCTGTGGCCTGGCCCCACCCCCAGCTACAGCTGCTGCGTGATGATTGCTTTGAACTCCCTACCTGTTCAGCTACTGACTGCCTGTGGAATGGGAGAGCTTTGGACTCAATCTGCACAGGACTTTGAACCTACCTGAATCCTCTGGCTTAAGGATTATCATGATTTTATTGCTGTTGCTATTGTATGTTATTAGTCTGGTTAAAATGTTCCAGTTTTCTCACACAGGAACCATTGTGGAAGTTGGGGAATGAGTAGATTGTTAGGTGAAATTTCAGCTTTGGGTAAAATTGCAGTATTTCAAGAATCTCTCACCTGGCCTTAGTGCATCTCCATATCATAGGTGTTCCCAAGGGGTGGAGAGAAGTAGTCCATCTCCACATCAAAAAGTAATTATAAAGGCAAGCGAGGACTGGAGAGGTTGGAGGGGGTCTCTTCTTCTGCAGCCAGGTCATGAGAGACACGGGAGAGCAGAGGTGGATGACTGCTTGTAAGAAATAAACGGGTTTCTCCCACTTTATTTCTCTCTTTGACTGATTTCAGTTTCAAAGGTATTTTGCACTGGAATTTCCCGCCCGGAATTACAGATGGTTTACCAGTCACCCAATCTTGCAAGACCATCATCATTAAAGCCTCACTCTGCTGTTCTCTGACGAAGTTTGGACCAGTGAGCACATTTCTCACAAGGGGTAAAAGCAAACTCTAAGGGGTACAGAGTCAAACAAGTAGTAATTGCACACTTACCAGGTATAGTGTTTCCTCTTGGGATCATGAAAAGTTCTAGAACTGGGTTATAGAGATGGTTGCACACACTGTGAAGGTATTAATGCACTGAAATGTACATTTTAAAATGGTTCAGATAGCACATTCTGTTATGTGCATTTTACCATAATTTTAAAAAACCCATTAATCTCAGACTTGGGGCAAGAGCCTCCTATGAATTTCTGAGTTCCTCATTTGTGTGCTTTCCCCTCAGTTCCAGGGGTAGTTGCCACCTTTGCATTTACTATTGCTCTTTAGTTTTTTATTATCTATAAACAGAAAAATTACCATCTTAGCCATTTTAATGTGTATAAATTTAGTGGCAATTAAGTACCTTCAGGATGTCGTTCACAACCATCACCACAATCTAGTCCCAGAATTTTTTATCAACCCAAAAGGTAATTCTGTACCCATTAAGCATGAATTTCTTAATTATTATTATTTAATTTCTCTGAGGAGAGAGTGTAGTTGTCACAGGAGCCTGCTGTCTGGTGCCATGGCGGAGGAACTGGCCTCCTTGCCTGCTAATAGCCGCCACCAGCGTGGTGACAAAGACACAGACTGGAGTTGTTTTCATCTCCTAGGGCTGCTGTGACAAACTACCACCAACCTGGTGGCCTAAAACAACAGAAATATATGGTCTCACAGTTCTGGAGGTCATGACGAAGTCTGAAACCGAGGTGTTAGCAGGGTTCATTCCTTCAGGGGCCGGAGAGAGACTCTGCTCCCTGCCCCTCTCCTAGCTTCTGGCGGTGGCTGGCAGTCCTTGGTGTTTTCCTGGCTTGTGGTAGCATATCTCCAGTTTCTGTTTCTGCCGTCACATGGTGGTCTTCCTTGTGTGTGTCTGTTTTCTCATAAGGACATGAGTAATTGGATTAGAGCCCACCCCTATCCAGTGTGACTTCATTTTAACTAATTACATCTACAAAGACCCTATTTCTATATAAGGTCACATTCACAGGTACTGGAGATTTGGACTTGAAATAATCATTTTGGGGGGACACAATTCCTGCCACAACAGGAGCCATCACCAGTGGAGAGGCAAAGAAGCTGGTGCTCAACAGGGCACCCAGCACGTTGATACGTTTACTTCAAGAAAAAAAAATGTTGCCTTTTCCTTTTCCAGCCTTGCTGTGCACCTCAAGCACCCTCTATTGGCAGTTTCACATCCAGCCAGCTGGGAAGCAGATAGGCAGGTACTGTTCCCCAAGGCAAGGAAGAGTGGATTTGTAGCTTAGAGGCAATAAATAACAGCCTTAGACCTAAGTTCTGTCTGCTTTTAAGTGAGCCCCCCTTAGGCTAGTTCGATCTTTAATCACCTGTGGCACTATGGCCTGAGAGGGGAGGAGTCTAAATAGAGGAGACACTTGAGCCAAGTCCTCCAGGATAGAGGGGGTGGTAGGGCACTGCAGCAGAAGAGGGATGGTATTTTGAGGCAGAGGAACTAGTATAAGCAAAAACAGAGCATGTGTGACCCCCGATTGTCAGAATCCTGAAAGCCACGCTAACATATTGGAACTCTCAGGATGAAGCTAGGTAAGAGTAGCATGACCAAATTTGTAATGTAGAAAATTTCCTTTTTCTCAAGGCAGAAGAGGAACTTCTGTTTGAGAAGGCAAGCCCTGAACAGGTGGTGGTGAGCTTCTGCCAGAGGAGCTTGCAGGGACTGAGTGGACTAGGAAGCCTGCATATTGGAAGAGCCCCAAGAGAGGCAAGATTCAATGAGAATCATCAAATGTTTCAGTGTGGAAATAACACGATCCAGTGTGGAGATGGCTGGCAACTCAAATACAACATGTCTCAAATGAAGGCATCACTCTACATTCTACACCATAAGTCTACTCTCCTCGTGTGTTCCTTATTTTAGGGGTGGCACTTGGTAGCCCAGTCCAGAAACCTGGGATTATCATGACTCATTCCTTTATTTCATTCCTCCAGAACCAATGAGTCAATACTGCCCCTTTGCTTCATAAATGGGTCTCAACTTTTCTCCATTCTCAGTGCTACCGTGGCTGGGTAGCTGCGTCTGGGGAGGTCTCTCCCTGCGCACCAGGTGAAGCACGATGAGACACCTCAACCTGGACAGGGGAGGGTGCTTGATTCTCAAACAGGTCAGAGGAGTGTAGGTAAGGAAGGAATTCATTAAAGCAAGAGCAACTGGGAACAGAAAACAGGAAAGTGCAAGGGAAAGAGGGAAAGTTCTCGGCCTAGGGCAGATTCCCTTGACAATTCCTGAAGCCAGGATCACCCGGCATCCTGTGTCTGCTTGGATCTGCATGACGTGGGGACTAGCCCCTACCACTCCAGGATTTGGGGGAGCCCCAGAGCCCAGGATGAAGTGAGATTATGTTCTGATAACTTCCCAAGAAAAGATTTTCAGGCAGGCTACTAAGAGCAGATTGCGCAGCGGCAGTTCCATCCAGGTCATCCAGGCAATGGAAACATGCAGGTCCAAATCTGAGCCCTTAGCAGCCCCTTCTACTTATTAGGAGTAAAGCAGAGACAGAGTGAAGACTTGGAAATAAAATGAAATAGCAAAGAGACAAATTGCAATAAATTAGGCAGTAGGAAAGCTTTATTTGAAAGTATGCACTTAAAGAAAGCGTGGGCGTTCTCAGAGAGGAGGTGCAATGAAAGTTCGGGGATTCTGTCTTTTAAGGCTTTCAAGAATGAGGCAAAGAGCAGAGGGGAGGTTGTTAGCTGAAGGCTTGACATGATCCCAAGAGGCTATCTCTGGCGAGACACCATGTCTCCTCTCCTCTGTTATCAGTTCTCCTGCTAATTCTGCTAAATAAACCCAACACAAGGGATTTATTTATCCTGTTCTTCTCCAAGAGAGTGCTTGCCCTCAAACAGTGGGGACATATCACTTAAGACAGCCTGTCCTGCCTTAAGATAGGCTGTTGGGCTATTGTCTGATTACCAGAGAATATGTTAGGAATCTTACTTCTCAACTCTCTGCTTTTTAAAATGGAATCTTAGCCTTAAGATGGGGTCTCTCCTGTTCTCACTATACTGTTTATATCTCAGCATTTTTCCTCATAGGCAGGAAACGTTAATCATGATGCTTGCCCCATGTTCCTGCCATACCTCACTTCTACCTTGAAACAGGCTTGTAGCATCTCTCACTTAGGCTCTTATACACTGTCTCATAATAATCTTACACTTCTTTCGACTCATTTTCTCAGGCAGAGTAATTGTTCTGAAACACAAACCTGAAGGTGTCACTTTAGTACTTTAAAAATTCTGCACTGGCTCTCCATTGCTCTTAGGATAAAGAGCAATTTCTTAAACATGGACTGAAATGACCCCTCACAATCTCACTTTTTCCAGTTTCCTCCCTACCTCTCCTCTTCCGTACCCCCAGTCCTCTGGGTTGCCTGTATTTTCTTGAAAAGTTGCTTGTTTTCTTGCCTTTGTCTCTCTTCTCTTCCTGGTACTTACTTGACAACTTCTCCCAGAACTCCACCCTCACTCTCATGCCCCAAGTCATCCTCTATTTGGCTTTTAGAGACAGCTAAGGTGTTAATTCCTCCTGGACTTGACCCTGACTCTACTGATTTCAGGTTAGGGGATTCTTCTATGTGTTGCCATTAATTCTCTCTCTCTCCCTGCAATATAATGAGTCATAAGAAATACATAGTTGGTCATTCATATGACCAACTACATATTTCCCAGGTATATTTGGTCTTCAGCCACAGTTCCTGAAAACACTGCAGTGTCTTAAAAGTGAAGTGGGTGCCTTGTCATGTTAATGAGAGACTTTTGGACCCCCATCCAAGGGTGGGGGGCTGGAGGTTGATTCACCCAATGGACAATAATTTAGTCAACAATGACTATGCTGTGTCACCCTCACAAAAACCCAGGAGAAGAGCTTATTGCTCTCTCAGACCCTGCTTCTCTGTCAGAGAGAAAGCTTCCATGCTTGAGTAATAAGAATGCTCCCATGTACTACCCAGCCAGGCCCTGAGCTCCAGGAGGATAGAAGCTCCTTTATTTGGGAGCTTGCCCTAGGTATCTCTTCATCTGGCTGTTAACGTGTATCCTTTACATGTTTTCCTTAGTTCTGTGAGCTGCTCTAGCAAATTAATTGAACCTAAGGGAGAGGTCGTTGGAACCTCTTATCTGTAGCTGGTAGGTCAGAAGTACAAGTAACAGCCTGGGGCTTGCAACCAGCATCTGGAGTGGGTTGTATGCAGAGCCCTTAACCTGGAGAATCTGGTGTTATTTCTCTGCAGATAGCATCATAATTGAGTTCCCAGACACCCTGTAGGTGTTAGAGAATATTTGGTCTTATGCATGAGAAGACCCCCTCCCACACATACACATACATTAGAATCGGATCCAGGAACCTGAATGGAGTTGTACTATTGTTACTGTTGTGTATAATACTATAAATTCTTAGTTTAGAAGCTTAGTTTGGAAACTAAGCATAATTCTTGGTTTAAAAATCACTAAAATCTAAATATGAAGTATTTAAAACATTTTTCTTCTTTTCTTGGATAACATGAACATGCTATAACTTCTGAAGTTTCTTTTTATATATTTAATTATAAATATGTCACTACAAAAAGCTTTGAAATATATCTGTAGATCACCTCTTCTGAATTATATATTTGTGTGTATACATACATACATATATAAATGTATATGAGTGTATACATGTATATAATTATATATAAAAATACATCAATGTATAGTTAACATAATATGTAAAATACATTTAATATATAAAACTATATATTAATTGCTATATAATGGTATATATATCTTTACCTTGTTTCATTTTCTTAAAATAATTTATATCTTAAAGTTTATTTGCTTGCTTATTGTCTGTTATCCTCTGCCAGAATATAAACTCCCTGAGATTGAGACCCTTGTCTACCTTGCTCACTACTATGTCCCTAGTGTCTACTACAGTGCTTAGCTCATAGTAGACGCCACAAATATTTACTAAGTGAATAATACAATTTTTTGAGGCAAAGTTCTTCATGTTGCTGTATAGTCCCATGCAATATTTGGGTCATAATTGTAATAAAAGTTATTAGCTCTTTATCTGAAATTCAGTTTAACTGAGCAACCTGTATTTTGTCTGGTAATACTACCTCCAGAAGACATTTGGCAATATTTGGAGACATTTTTGACTGCCACACCTGGGTAGTACTACTGTGGATGTTGCTTAACATCTTACAATGCATAGGACAGGCCCTACAAGGCAAATACCCATCCACTCTAAAATGTCACTAGTGTGGAGGCTGGGGAACTCTGAACCAGATGGTCGTGAACTTCAAGGGTCCCGAATAGGCCGACCACGCCTAGAGTCTCCAAGTTCATTTTCCTTTTGTAAATGCAGTCTGGGGTTAGTGAGAGGAAGTTGTCCAGGGCTGGGGACAGGCTTTAAAATCTTGAGCAGACATCTTAACGCTAGTAACCAGACAGCAAGAAAGCCAGGCTGCTAATCGTAGCAGGTGAGCAGGTGAAGTTACGGCGCCGGTGCCGAAAAGATCACATGTGAAGGGCGCTGTGGACGCTAAAGGTCTCTGCACACGTTGGTTAGTTGAGCCCTAGACTCAGCGACGTCCTGTAGGTGCCGCTAAAGAACAAATCCTCCCGCCACTGGGACCAGGAAGATGCTCCCTGACGAACCGGAAGCAGCCCGGAGGCGGAGGCGTCCTTCTTCCCTAGCAACGGTGGCGAAGGAAGTGGGTAGTGCCGCCGTTCCTTGTGCGCCTGCGCCGAGGCGCCGCTTGTGACGTGGAGCTGGCCCCGGGCGTCCGAGCTGGGCGAGCTGCCGAGAGCCGGAGAGTGGCTGGGCTGGCGGAGCGGCGGCCGGGGCCGGGATGGCAGCGCCGCTCGTTGGGCGCGGGGGAGCCGGGGCTGCCGGCCGACGCTGGCTGGTGCTGCCGGCGCCCCTGCTGCTAGCCTTACTGCTGGCGCGGCCTGCGGGGGCCTTGGTGGAGGGGCTCTACTGCGGCACGCAGGACTGCTACGCGGTGCTGGGCGTGAGCCGCACGGCGAGCAAGGCGGAGATCGCGCGGGCCTACCGCCAGCTGGCCCGGCGCTACCACCCCGACCGCTACCGCCCCGAGCCCGGCGATGAGGGTGCCGGACGCACGCTGCAGAGCGCCGAGGAAGCCTTCCTGCTGGTGGCGACTGCCTACGAGACTCTCAAGGTGAGGCCCGAGGACGCGGATGGGCTGCGGGGACCCGGCCGAGGAAGCCAGGGGCGAGTAGCCTTTGGCCCCCTGGCTCGTGCAGCAAGGTTTTCTGTGACGCCCACGCCCGGTGTGGCCACCACCACTGCCCTTAGGATGCTCGCGCTTCCCGACGTGGCCCTGTGAAAAAGCCCACATGGCCCATTGACAAAGGTGGGAACCCGATCGGGCCTTGGGGAACAGCCAGCCACGTCCTTTTTGTCAGTCTTTGCAAAGCTTTGGACATCTTAAGATTTAGGGAAAGCATTTTAATAACGTGCAGCTCACATTCGGAAGGAAGGGTGATTATTATTACCAGGGTCTGTGGTGGAACACAGGAAAGGTCTCCAGTATTGAATAACAATGTAATCGCGCCAATTTTACATGACAGAAACTTGGTTTCTGGGGATGGAATTAATTGCGACATTTAGCTCGGGTTTTAAGGATCTAGAAAAACACTAAGAACAATGAACAGCCATCCAGTCAGAAGACCGGATGTTTGACTCTTGGCTCCGACACCCCTCTATGACCTTGGAAAGTGACTTAATAAATCAGAGTAGCTGTTTCATCCTATGCAAAATTAAGGCCATGAAAATAAACTCCTCAAGGAATTATTGTAAGGATTAAATGAGAAGTGTGACACACCACCTGTAAGTAGGTGTTTAATGACTTGAGGTTCAAGATTCTGAGAATTTCTAGTAGGGAATGTTTTGTAAATATGTGTGTGATCATTTGACAGACCTTTTAATGAGTCCTGCAGGGATGAGGAGATTTAGCCTGGTCCTGTTTATTTCTACTACTGCACAAATCAAACCATATAAGACATCACAAAGTATAAATCATCGTTGATGGAAGTATTACTGCTTCATGGCCCCATCGTGTTAATGTAACAGCAATTGGTAGTTGTACTTCTTTCCAGCCTTTTTGTTTTGTTTTGAGGTTAAGTTTTCCATGTTGCTATATAGTCTGCTTTTGATAACTACTTTGAGTGAGTACACTATAATTTAACCATGCATTAGTTTTCCAGCTCAGCTTTCCAGAGCTGAAAATACTGAGTCAAGAAGTTAAAGGCTCTTCAGTCGTGCTTTCCAGAGCAGTTTAAGTAACATGGAGTCATAAAATGAGCATGCCTGGCTCTCTAAATTCTTGCTAGCATTGATTGGTGAGATGGAAATTTTTATTAGCAGTTAATGGAGGAATGGGTTGGGAGCTGGGAAAATGCTGAAGCCAGAGAATTTAGTTGCTTATTATTTAGTATAAGACTTCAGAAAATAGGAAAACTTCTCCATCCAGGGCAGCCCAGCATCTGAAATCCAAAGGAGAGAGAGTGTTCCAGACAAGCAGCCAGTGTTTCTGCTGCTGGTCCTCCAAAGCCCTAATGGTGCATAAGGAGGCACTGGGGAGATGGAAAACTTCCAGAAGAGCGGGCAGCAGAAACACTGGCAGCTGTTGCTTTCTGTTGGGGTTGGAGTTGGGTAGGTTTGGCATGAGAATGGTGAGTGAGGATGTTAGTAAAACAAATGCCAAGAAATAAAGACAATACAGACATTCTCTCTGAGAGGAACCCCAGAACTGTAAATATTATCATTTTCTTGAAGACAAATGGAGGCTGATCTGGCAAATCTGTAGCGGTTACCTCTAAAGGTATCTACCCCTCAAATTTGTCAGCTAATAAAAAGATAAAATATTTTGTCCCCTCAAGAACAAGGAACTTAGGGGCAGTTAAAAACTAGTATGTTTGGAGAAAGTAACATTTTAAATCTTGATTCTGACAGGTTTGTTGTTGCTACACATGCCTCCAAACAGAAAACTAGAATTGGGAGTTGTAGTGATGGAGGTGGGAGTGTTCTGTAGCTTCCCCAACCCCACTCAGTATTGCTGCAAGAGAGTGGAAATAATCTGTGAGAGAAAAGGGATGTCAGGGGAGAGTTTGGACCCTTGAAAATCAGACCTAGCTAAGCTCTATGAAAACTCCCACTTTAAATTTAGAGATGGGCATAAATTCTACGTCTAAGTGGAAAATCTCCAGAAACTTGAAAAAAAAAAAAAAACTTCATTGTAGATGCCCTCTGCTGGAATAAGAAAAATAACTTTGACTTGCTGTGTGTGGAAGAAGTTGTTAAAACCAAACAGGGTAGTCTGATTTTATTTCTATCATAATGCAAAGCTGGCAGATATAATTTCTGGGTAACACAAAAATCTAATGGGGTTATTCGATTTGGATGACTTCAAGCCTTCCAAATTATCCCCATAAGGCAATGGGCATGTAACCACTGTTTGCTTGGATTATATCCACAGGCCAGAAAGAGGGCTTGTGAGGGATAAGAGCCACGTGGAATTCCACATATCATCTCATAGAGGCAGCAACTGCAGACCTGGAACCACATTTCATTTCTGTTTGTTATTTTTGTTATATACTGTATTTTCACCACGGAGAATAATGGTAGATTCTGTGAGAGGTGTACTTATCTAGGGAGCCAGCCAAAAAGGAGTAAGGGAGTCGGGAAGACTATGTCCTCCTTCACAGCCATGTCCATTTACTGCTGGCATATGGTGAAGGAAGTTTGATTTTATGTTTGCTTTGTAGAATGTACAAGCAGATTCCATTTCCGGAATAGTGTGTCTAACAAATTGTTTCTTTCTTGAAATCTAAAATAATTGTAAATTTACGGAGCCAGGAGCCTTTTTTCTCCCCCCATAATTTTTTGATGACCTTAATTTCTTTTATTATTAGTCTGTTCAAGTCTCTTAATATTTTTAACATATGTGATATAAGAAGCTATGCTATACCCTCCTTATAATCTTACAGTGGTGTTCCACCAAATTCTAATAACCAAGGATCTGTGTTGATATTAAATACAGCTCCAAAATGGGGGCTATATTTGTGTAAGATATAGTGCATTTATGATTTTGATGTTGTTTTGGTCAAATAAATGCCTCTTTCAGAGAGAGTTTTTTAGGTGATGGTTTAACAACGCTGATGTGATTTAAATACAGTTGGTGAGACAAGGAGGTATCATACTTGGTCATTGTTATTTTAGCAACAGAGATTCTACCTGGTGCATAGAAAGATTGAGGAAAATTAGAAGGAGGAGGATGTTTAATAATGGAAGGCAAAGGCATTGGTCAGATGCCTCCACCAAGTCATGCTTAGTTCATATTCTCAAATAACTTATACCAGATCTTAACAGGACTTCAAACCATTTGTTTCATAGTAGAGGTTAAGAACATGAGATAGTATTTAGTGTATTTGCCTACTAGGGACTCAGGGGATTCATGGACTTTGGAAGTTAAGTGGACTGTCACTCACTGTGTCAACATTGGATCTTTTTATGTGGATATAGCACTTATCACACTGCACAGTAGATATTGAGTAGCCTTTCTCCCCTCCACTAAACCATGCTCCTCCTTTTTGGTATGTATATCTGTGGCACCTAGCACAGTGTCTGGCACATCAGCTAATGAACGTTTGTTAAATAAAAACTCTTATCTGGAGAGAGATTCAGATGGAATGGAGTTTGAAAGTGGATTTCTGACATTTGGACATGGTTATGTGAAACCTACCTTGGCATTTTATCTCAAATGAATTGTAGGTGTAAAGAGTGGTACATGAAGGGTAGATTGGATGGAATGAATGAAAAATTTCTGTGTGAGAGAAAAACTGCACTTGTTTGTAAGGAGACATTATGTTCTGAGGGTTTTTAAGTGAGAACGTAAGTCATTCTTGAATATAGTAAGGACAAAATGAAACATGAAATAAGGAAGATGGTATAGAAGAAGATGAAGGAATGGGTGCAAAGGATGCACTTAGTAATAACTATGGTAGAAAATGGGAAAAGAGAATTTGACAGCATTTTACAATATCATAAGAAACAGAAAAGGTCTTGGAAGTATTAACTGGCATGAAAGTTGTCTGATAAGCTCAGGGATGTGTAGAGAGAGCCTTCTACTCTGCCTTGTCATGCCAGAGAACTGCAGTTTCTTTTTTTTTTTTTTTTTTTTTTTTTTTTTTTT